GGGAGCCTACACCTCCGGTCAACACCCACCACGGTTTGGTGACTGCCCACTTGTGTCGGGTGCCCCAGTAAGGCACTGGGGAATAACAGAGGAGCCACGTGGTTCCTGCCCCCACAGGACTCAGTCCTGTGCAGGAGACAGGCATGAGCAGCAACTCACACACAACGTGACTAGGACCCTGTTGCAGGAGTGAAGGACGCTATGGGAGGAGGGACAAGAAGCGACAGTTCAGCTAAGGCCTGAGGCTGAAGAGAAGTTAGCAAGGGCAGGGGAGGGCCCTGCTGGCAGAGGACAGACATGAGCTGCGGAATGGGCTAAGGAACGCTAAAAAGGCAAGGATGGCTGCTTCAGAACATGTGAAAGGCTCAGCGAGGGCAGTTGGAGAAGTGCAGAGGCCCAGCAGAGGGAACACGGAGAAGCCACGGAAGGGTTTCAAGCAGAGAGGGAACCAATTCACATGGCACGAAGGCAGCCCCAGCTAAAACACAGAGAACTGCCTAAAGGGAGCAGGAGGTGGCAGAGCTGGACACAGAGACCCCTGTCACGGAAGGGGGCAGTCCTAGAAATCCCAGAACGGAACAGCAGGGGCCTGGACTAGGATGGAGGCAGCAGACACAGTGGTGGTCTATCTGTGGGGGCAGGAGGCAGAGCAGGGCAGCCCACCCAGACCTCTCACTGGCTCAGCTTCCCCTTCATCCCCCTGATGCCTCATCGAGCCGTGACGGTCTCCCTCCCGCTAAAGAGGACGCAAGGGTCTCTGCCACCCACACTGCTTTGCTGTCCCCTTCCCAGTGCCTCTGGAAAGAGAACCAGAAAGATGTGGTTGGAGTGTCTCAGGGAGATAAAATCCACCAAAAGCAGGAAGCCTCGGTGGCCAGTCAGTCTCTCCCTCGCTGCAAACGCCAGCAGCCCCCACTGGCTGCCTGGTCTGCAAGGGCCAAGGGTTGTGGGGGGCCTTCCAGGATCTGGAAGTACTGTTCACCACCGCTCACCACATCCACCCACTGCCATTCCCTCTGGCCACAGTCGCGGAGCCCCCAAAACCTTCTGATACCTGGCAGCTCCTGCCTCTCTGCCCCTCAAGCTATTCCCAGCAAGGCAACATCTAAAGGCTTGGGAGAAGTCCTAGCAATGCAGTCCTCGCAGGAGCTGATGCCTCTCCGAATTCACTGCTTCCTGCCTGAGCTCCCTGGGAGGCGTTCCCGTTTTGTGCCATCTAGCCCTGCATCTCCTAAGGGCCTTCTTCCCAAGCTTCAGCAGCTGCTGGCAGGGATGAGCCCCCAGGAAGCTGGAGTGGGGAGCAGACAGCTCCACACATTCTCTGCCGGCACCGCACTCACCACAGCTCCCTGTCACTGCTCCTATATGAATCTCCAGTTCAGATCTCTCATTAAAAGGTCCCTCGCATGCTCGAAAAGCTTCCCCTCTCAGAGGTGCCACGGAACATGGGCAGAGCCACACAATCAACTGTGCATGACATTTATAGCTCTGCGGTTCCCTGCATGAAGGAGCTTCCTCTGCCAGCCTGGAAGTTTGGGATGGGCAGAAACCACATCACCTGCTTCTCAGAATTCCCCACTTGGCAAATGCCTACTCATTACCAGACTGCAGCTCTGGCGCCTTCCTGCTCTAAACTTATGGTGCCTGCTGGCAGGACCTCCTGAGGGGCTGCATCCTCTGCCATTCAACACACGTGTACCAAGCACGGGCGCACGAGAAGTCTTCTGCTAGGAGCAGCTGTATCCAGCTCTTTGGAGAAGTTATTCAGAGTTCATCAGGAAAACCTGACACTGCCAAGGTCTTAAGGGTTCTCACAGGGGCAATCACTCTGTCTATCAGCGCTTAAGTGTGGAGTAAGGGTGCGTAAAAGAGGTGCTGCTGATGGGAGAGTAAATGGGGTGGGGGGGTGTCAATGTGGAGAGTCAATCACCGTTTCATAAACACATCCTCTCTACTATTCCACCCATCCGTTCTGCTTCATACTCGCACAGGAATAAGTGGTATTCACTGCAGCCATGTCTGCTGGGGAAAAACTAGAAAAAAATCTCAAAGTCCACAAACCAGGGTCGAACCCAATCGGCTACGGTTTGGCCATCCCGTGGGATGCTATGCAGCTATGAAAAATAATAAGAGTTCTCTGTGCTGACACGAAAGGAAAACCACAACACATTTTTTTTTTTTTTTTTTTTTTGAGACGGAGTTTCGCCCTTGTTACCCAGGCTGGAGTGCAATGGCGCGATCTCGGCTCACCGCAACCTCCGCCTCCTGGGTTCAGGCAATTCTCCTGCCTCAGCCTCCTGAGTAGCTGGGATTACAGGCACACGCCACCATGCCCAGCTAATTTTTTGTATTTTTAGTAGATACGGGGTTTCACCATGTTGACCAGGATGGTCTCTATCTCTCGACCTCGTGATCCACCCGCCTCGGCCTCCCAAAGTGCTGGGATTACAGGCTTGAGCCACCGCGCCCGGCCAACCACAACACATTATTATTATGTGAAAGTCACAAAATGTACACACAGCAGTTCATCTATTACACAGGCACGATCACTCTTCTTTCTCAGGAGAGAAGAGCGGGAAAGGGACGAAGGGAGGGAACGTTCCTTTTTCACTCACATGTATATATGTATATATACATTCACACACACGCACCCGTCTGAGATGTTTGAATGTTTACTAATGTAACAGATGGCCAGGCACAGTGGCTCACGCCTGTAATCCCAGCACTTTGGGAGGCCGAGGCAGGTGGATCACTTGAGGCCAGGAGTTCGAAACCAGCCTGGCCAACATGGCAAAACCCTGTCTCTACTAAAAATACAAAAACCAGCCAGGCATGGTAGTACATGCCTGTAATTCCAGCTACTCCAGAGGCTGAGGCAGGAGAATCACTTGAACCTTGGAGACAGTGGTTGCAATAAGCTGAAATCATGCCACTGCATGATTTCTGCTCAATTGCTGGGATCCTAGATAAATCACTTACCCTCTCAAAACCTCCATTTCCTCTTGTGATTATTTTTTTTTTTTTAAGGCAAGGGGGAATATCATTTACTCTCCCAGAATGCTGCAAGAATTCAACAACAGCTCGTATGACAGCTTGCAGCTGGTATCTTTACCGCTAAGTGAGGTAATAACACTGGCTCTGCCTACATCATGGGGCACTGAGAAGATCTAACGAGATGTATGCTGGGAAAGAGTTCGGAAGTAGAGAGGGGGACAGAAGTGAGAGCGGTTACATAAGGATTCTGCTCCCACCCCAGCCTCAAGCCTCAGCCATGGCAAATGAGGGCAGGGGGAGTTACTGGAGGGTCTTTACTCATCCTATTGACAAAAATGCTTTTTGTTGTTGTTGTTGTTTGGAGACAGGCTCTCACTCTTTCACCCAGGCTGGAGTGCAGTGGTGCAATCATGACTCACTACAGCCTCAACCTCTGGGGTTCAAGCGATCCTCCCACCTCACCCTCCTGAGTAGCTGGGACTATAGGCACACGTCACCACACCTGGCTAATTTTTGTATTTTTTCGTAGAGACGGGGTCTTGCTATGTTGGTCAGGCTGGCCTTGAACTCCTGGGCTCAAGGGATGCTCCCACCTCGGCCTCCCCAAGTGCTGGGATTACAGGCGTGAGCCACCACACCCAGTCCCTATGGTCAAAATTCTCCTCAGTTATTTATTTGGGTACCAACTTCACTAGAGGGAAAACGGCAATTCAGAAGGGGAATGGTGGGCTGCTACAAGCGATGATTGACAATTTCTGCTAATAACACCTCAGTCCAAGAATCCTTAGACTTCCAGCGGGCTATTCCTGATCCCTTCAAATCCTCACATCTCCACCGTCCTCCAGACAGTCACTGCCAAAGGACCCGACATCCTGCAAGGTCACAAACCCCAGCCCAACTCCTCAGACTCTTCCATGTATCAGTCAGGAGCACATGCCTGTCCCAAGCTACCCCACAAACCACGGGGGTCTATTCCCAGGACTTCCACAAACATCTCCATCTCCAAACACCCCCACCCCGCCCTGCCTCGTTCCCTCTGAGATGCCTCCTCTTGTTACCTTCCAGTTCTACAAAATTCTCCCCACTAAAAGCACCACCCCAGGGTAGCCCCCTGACTTGTCCTCATTGGCGCCATATCAGGACTCCTCACCTCCATACTGGACATGCCTGACCCCCCTACACTCCAATTCAGGCCTCTCTACCTACATCCTACACACACGTCCCATCTCAGTGCCATCGCACCCACTCCTGGACACCCCCAAAGTGGGACTTCCCCTCTCAAGCTCTCCCACCCAAGGCTCCTAGGGCACATCCCTGTACTGTCCACATTTCCACTCTAAGGATCCTTTCACTGCACTGTGCAGCCACTCATACCCGGGATCCCCCAAAGTTTCCTCCTCAGAGGGGAGGGCACACACCTTCATCCCGGACCCCTCGAAACCCTCCTCCCATTCCTAGGGTCCTCAACAGCCATCCTTCCACGTCCACTGTCCAGTCGCTCGAAACACACCCATCCCAGGCTCCCGGACTTCCTCTCCCTAACTCCTCCCGGTTCCCCGTCAGGACCCGCTCTCATTCCCATCGGGTCCCAAGGACCCCCCCCCCGGACACTCCCACCTCCAACCTGCACCTGGCTGGGGCCGGGGTCGGGTCGGGAGTCCCTCGGCACCCGGAGAGCTTCTGCTCACTCCCACAAGAAACCACTCAGGTCTTTCCCAGACGCCTCCGGCTTCTCTCCACACCCTTTCCCCAGTTATCTTAGGCTCCCCTCCATGCCCCGAGTCGCCTCTCTCAGGGGCCCCGCTGCCGGCGCGCTCAGTCCCAGTCCCAGTCCCACTTCTAGCCGGTCCCGGTGATCCGTCCCACCTCCTTGTCCCTCCACTTCCACCTCGGGCCGTCCCGGTCCCTTCCTACTCCGGGGTGCCCTCAGGACACCCCTCGGACGGCCCCTCACTCGCCCTCCGGGACCGTCGCGGTCCCCTCCCGCCACCCCCCCACAGCCGTCCCGGCGGCCATTGCTCCAAGATGGCGGCGGCGGCGGCGGCGGCGGCGGCGGCGGCGGGTGAGGCCGGGCCGGGCCGGGCCGGGTGGGGGTTCGGGGGTCCCGGGGCGGCGCTCACCTGTAACTCCGCGCGCTCGGCCTCCCAGCGGGCTTTCTCGGCTTCAAAGCGCGCCCACTCGTGCTGGATAAAGTGCAGGATCCCCGGCAGGCTCAGGGGCTCCGGGCCCGCCGTGGGCCCGGGGCTGCCTCCGCCGCCACCTCCTTTACCTGCCGGACCCGGCCCAGGGGCAGGGGCAGAGGCCGGGGCCGCCCCAGTGGGGCCAGGGCCCGCGCCTGAGCCGAGCGGACGGCAGGAGGAGGCGGCGGCGGCGACCGCGGCGGCCGCTCGCTCCTCCATCATGGAGGCCCCGGGGCCGGCCCGCGCGCCCGCTCTGCCTCGCGCGCCTGCGCGGCCGCGCCAACCACCCCCCCCCCACCGCCAACCCCGCGCGCGCGCCCGGAGGGGGACGGTGGGAAGGGGGGACGGCTGCGAGCGCGAGGTCGGGGGCGAGCCTCGCCCACCCGGTCGACCCCGAAGGCGAGCGCGCCCACGCAGGGGGCGGCGCGAGGGAGATCGCGCCCCGAGGAGGGCGAGGGAGACCCAGGCTCCGCGCGACGGTTGCCCTCCCTGAAGTGAGACTGAGGAAGGGGCCGCTTTGTGACCCCCTCCTTCCACTTCGTCCGGGAGAAAGAGCCTTACCCCTTCCCCACCCAAACACCACTCTCCTGGACGATTACTGTTACCGTGAGAGAACGGGCAACCAGCAGTGGCCCCATCCTCTCTGATTCCTGGCCAGGTCGATTGTCATGGTAACCCTTCCCCAGCGGTGGGGGCCCGTCTGCCCCTCCCTTACATCTTTGATGTTATGGAACCCCAAAACTCGTCGGACTCTGCACCAGGAGAAGGTTGCTAAGGTAACCTAAGTCCCTGGTGGTCCTTCTGCTCCTACCCTCATCGACTGCTGTGGCAACCACCCTCCCATCTAGCACTCAGGTAGAAAGGACCCCAGCCTCTCCCCCACAGCTACCTAGATGGCATTACCATGGTAACCGTCTTCCCTTTCCCATCGTGAGAGCCCATTCACCAAACCAACCTGGTGTTTTTATTTAGAGGAGGAGATGCTCAGCTGAGGGGCGGTTGCTATGGTTACAAGGCCTGGACCATCCTCCCGCAGGTGAGAAACAGGCAAGGTCAAGGCCTGGTTACTATGGTCATAGAGCAGTCCCCTTCCAGTGACCCTAGGTACCAAGCCCAACCAAGTAGGGAATGTTTTAAGATTGTCTCTCAGGGGCGCAGTGTGTCTAGGGAGGGGGTTGTCATGGTAACATCTGTCGGCTTCTAGCCCTACCTTTTCTGGACACATTCATGCTAGAGGGATGCTTATAGGTTGCTATAATAACTGACATCCCTCCCATTCACCCCACCCCACTCCGGAGACACTCCATGTAGTGCTCGAGATTATGGGACTTCAAGAGAAAGGATTCCCTGACCTTTCTCTTACCACTTTTGTAGATAAGATGAAATTGTGCTCTATTGTGCGGAAATGGCTGATTTGGGGTTTTCTGGTTCCTCTCGACTCAGGAGTGCAGCTCAGCTGGGCTGGAACTGCCCTCCTGGAACTCCCCCAGCCTGCAACCTAGGAGGTAAGCCGTCCCTAGTGTCCCCCGCGCTCTCATGGAAACTGCCCTCCCCTCATTCCCTAAGGCCTTCCCACGCATCTCGTTCTTTTCTACCTATCACATCCCAGTTCTGCAGATGCAGGGACTGAGGCTCAGGGCGGATCAGAGCTCAGGCTCAGTGAACCCAAAGCCTGAAGAGAATTTGGATTCATTTACCTTGTTCTGTGGGGACTGGAGAGACACGCACTCAGCCTCCCTGTCCTCTTCGTCTCTGACCACCATTTGTTTGTTTGTTTGTTTGTTTGTTTGTTTTCTGAGACAGAGTTTCGCTCTTGTTGCCCAGGCTGTAGTGCAATGGTGGGGTCTCAGCTCACCGCAACCTCCGCCTCCCATGTTAAAGCAATTCTCCTGCCTCAGCCTCCCGAGTAGCTGGGATTACAGGCACGCACCACCACGCCTAGCAAATTTTTTTGTGTTTTTAGTAGAGACGGGGTTTCTCCATGTTGATCAGGCTGGTCTTGAATGCCCGACCTCAGGTGATCCACCTGCCTCAGCCTCCCAAAGTGCTGGGATTACAGGCGTGAGCCCCTGCGCCTGGCCTCTGATCACCATTTCTAAAGCAAGTCCCGGGTTTCTCTCTCGCACCCTCTGCTGGTCTCCTGCCCTGTCTCTAAGTTGTGTGGTTTTGTCTTTTTTTTTTTTTTTTTTTTTTTTTTTTGAGACAGGGTCTGGCACAGGACAGAGCGCAGTGGCGCAATCTCAGCTCACTGCAACCTCCATCTCCCGGGTTCAAGCGATTCTCCCACCTCAGCCTCTCCAGTAGCTCAGATTATAGGTGTGCACCACCACGCCCAGCTCATTATTGTATATTTTGGTAGAGGGGGGTTTCACCATGTTGCCTGGGCTGGTCTGGAACTCCTGACCTCAGGTGATCCACCTGCCTGGGCCTCCCAAAGTACTGAGACTACAGGTGTGAGCCACCACACTTGGCCCTGTCAATCTTTCTGTCTTCTGGAGGGCTGACCTAGTGAGTACCTCATTCATTGTGTATCCTCAAAACGCAGGGTCTGCCACAAAGAATACTTGAGTTTGTTGAGTTACTGAGTTGAATTAATTTATTAATGTGCCATAGTCAAGGTTTGAAAGCACCTGTGAGGTTAGGGCTGGGGAAGGCTCACCAAAGATGGCCTGAGAGTACAGGCTTCCGAAAGAACCTAAGATAGAAAGCAACGTTTGTTGGTTTAAAGCATGACACTGTAACCAGTTTGTTGGATCAACTCTTGGGTCTACTACTTCCCATTGTGTGCCTTTGAATAAGAGACTTTAACTCTCTGTGGCTCTGTTTCTTCCTTTTTTATTTTCATTTTTTGAGACAGGGTCTCAGTCTGTCACCCAGGCTGCAGTGCAGTGGTGTAGTCTCGACTCACTGCAACCTCTGCCTCCTGGGCTCAAGTAATCCTCCCACTTCAGCCTCCAGAGTAGCTGGGACTACAGCTGCACGCCACCATGCCCAGCTAATTTAAAAATTTTTTTTTGTAGAGACGGGGTCTTACCAGTCCATGCTGGTCTCAAACTCCCAGGCTCAAGCAATCTCTCCCAGCTTTCGCCTCCCAAAGTGCTGGGATCACAGACATGAGCCCCACGCCGGCTGGTTTCCATTTTTAAATGTGATCATAGCATAAGGATTAAGCAAGTGAATACGGATAAAATGCTTAGAACAGGGCTTGGCACGTGGGAAGCTGCTAGAATTGTTATTATTATCCTCCCGATTCGGAAAAATGTAGAACATTCTGACCTTCAAAATCATTGCATCTACTTTGCCCCAACAAAGGGGTTTGTAGTCCTTAGAGGTGGTGAGGTGTGGATGACCTTATCAGGGTACTCGAGGATTCCTTTCCCCACCTCAGTTGTCTCAGACCCTCACCAGCAGGCGGCACCGCCTCATCTGGCCATCAAACCCGCTGGTGTCTGCTCTGCAAGAGCCAAGGGCTGGGGTGGGCCTGAGGGTCGCCAGGACCTGGCTGCTGTCCTCTGCCCTGCCGGGTACCTCCTGGCCAGCCCAGAGTCAGACAGTGTGGCCAGATCCAGGGCCTCGAAAGCAGACACTAGGTTCTGATCTCTGCTTCCTTCCCCCATCTCTGGGCCAGAGGTTCCTAGCTTTCTTTCCTGAGACAGGGTCTCGCTCTGTCACCCAGGCTGGAGTGCAGCGGCTGGATCACAGCTCACCGCAGCCTCGAACTCCTGGGCTCAAGGGACCCTCTCACCTCAGCTTCCCTCCCAAGTAGCTGAGACCACAGGGAGATACCACCACGCCTGGCTAATTTTTGGTTGTTTTTTTTTTTTTGTAGAGACAGGGTTTCACTACATTGCCCAGGCTAGTCTTGAACTACTGAGCTTAAGTGATCCTCCTGCCTCAGCTTCCCATAGTGCTAAGATTACAGGAGTGAGCCACCACACCCAGTCCAGGTTCCCTATCTTTTTTTTTTTTTTTTTTTTTTCTTTTTTCAGACAGAGTCTTGCTCCATAGCCCAGGCTGGAGTATAGTGGCTTGATCTCGGCTCATTGCAACCTCTGCCTCCCGGGTCCTAGTTTAAGCAATTCCCCTGCCTGAGCCTCCTGAATAGCTGGGATAATAGGCACATGCCACCATGCCCAGCTAATTTTTGTATTTTTAGTAGAGATAGGGTTTCACCATGTTGGCTAGGCTGATCTTGAACTCGTGACCTCGTGATCTGCCTGCCTCAGTCTCCCAAAGTGTTGGGATTATGGGCATGAGCCACCATGCCTGGCCTAAACTCTAAGATTTTAAGATTTTTGAGGGCTTAAGCTTCTGTGGTTGCAAAGGTTCCTGCCCCTGCACTAATGAACTCCACAAGGGGTGGGGATGCCGTTTATCTCTGAGTGCTGCTCTTATCTCCAGTGCCTAGAACAGAGCCTGGCGTGTTGCAGGAGTTCAGCAAATCAAAGGATCAATCTAAGGTCCGGAAAGCAATTCCAAGATTCTGAAGGTTAGAAAGGACTGGGCATGGTGACTCACACCTCTAATCCTGACACTTTGGGAGGCTGAGACGGGAGGATCAATAGAGGTCAGGAGTTTGAGGCCAGTCTAGGCAACATAGTGGGAGCCAGTCTCCACAAAAATGTGTTTAAAACATTAGCCAGGCACAGTGGTGTACGCCTGTAGTCCCAGCTACTCGGGAGGCTGAGGCAGGAGGATGGGTTGAACCCAGGAATCCAAGGCTGCAGTGAGCCGTGATTGCACCACTCCACTCAAGCCTGGACAGCAGAGCAAGACCCTGTCCCTTTAAAAAAGAAAAAAAAAAAAGTTTTTAACTTAAAAAAATCAAGATTAGTGGTTGGGTGCAGTGGCTCGTGCCTGTAATCCCAGCACTTTGAGAGACCAAGATGGTCGGCTCACTTGAGGTCAGGAGTTTGAGACCAGCCTGGCCAACATGGTGAAACCCCATCTCTACTAAAAATATAATAATCAGCTGGGCATGATGGCATGGGCCTACAGTCCCACCTACTCAGGAGGCTAAGGCAGGAGAATCGCTTGAACCTGGGAGGCAGAGGTTGCAATGAGATAAGATCCGGCCACTGCACTCCAGCGTGGGGGACAGAGGGAGACTCCATCTCAAAAAAAGAAAAAGAAGTAAGAGCAGTTTGCGAAAATGTTCATGGTGATGTAAGCATACAGGTTGGCGGAAGCCTGGCAAGAGATGATGGTGGAATGGCGGACAGACAAGGGGAATGGCAGAAGAAGTGTCCACTTTCTCCCCTGGGCACTGGGGAGCCATGGCAAGCTCAGAGCAGGGGAAGGAGAGGCCCAGCTCGTGCTTTAGGAAGACTCCTCTGGCAGGAGATCCGGGGGAGGCTGGATGGAATGTGGGTGGCCCTGATTGACGATGGAGCTATGGAAATGGGGAGGAGGAGCCAGAGGATTGAGGACATAGGACGGTTAGCTGGACGTCCCTTCTCTCCAGGAAGGGCAGAAACGTGCAAAAAGCCTTCATGGGGAAACTATTTGAGCATCTGCTTGGAACCCAGAGCCACGCCACCTATGCTGGAGACCGGCCAGCCACATTTTCAAAGTCGTGATGGGGACAAGGAGACAGCGCCATCTAGGTCTTGCTTGAGGGTGTGGCCGGTGAATGTGGAGTGGAGTGTCCTGGTTGGCAGCCTCTTTTAATGCAAGCCAACCCACTTTTTAGTTGTTGTTGGGTTTTTTGAGATGGTCTTACTCTCGTCCAGGTTGAGTACAGTGGCATGATCCTGGCTCAAGCCATCCCCCCACCTCAGCGTCCTGAGTGGCTAGGACCACAGGTGAGCAGCACCACACCTAGCTAACTTCTTATTTTTTGTAGAGATGAGGGCTCCCTATGTTACCTAGGTTGATCTTGAACTCCTGGACTCAAGTGATCCTCCTGCCTTGGCCTCTCAAATTGCTGGGATCTCAGGCGTGAGTCACTATACCTGTCCCCACCTCCCCACTTTTACTTTATTTTTCTTTTTTTTTCCCCCCCGAGATGGGGCCTCGCTCTGTCACCCAGGCTAGAGTGCAATGGTGCCATCTCGGCTCACTGCAACCTCCACCTCCCAGGTTCGAGTGGTCCTCCTCCCTTGGCCTCCCAAATTGCTGGGATCACAAGTGTGAGTCACCCAGCCCACCCCACTTTCATTTTGTTTTTCATTTATTTATTTATTTAGATGGAGCCTTGCTCTGTTGCTCAGGCTCGAGTGCAATCTCGGCTCACTACAACCTCCACCTCCTGGATTCAAGTGATTCTCCTACCTCAGCTTCCTGAGTAGCTGGGATCATAGGCGTCCACCCTCACACCTGGCTAATTTCTGTATTTTTAGTAGTGAAGGAGTTTCACCATATTGGCCAGGCTGGTCTCAAACTCCTGACCTCAGGTGTGCCACCCGCCTTGTCCTCCCAAAGTTCTGACATCACAGGCATGAGCCACCCACCGTGCCTGGTACGATTTTTTTTTTCCAGCACCCTGCTTTAAAAAATTTTTTTTTAATTCTAATAAAATATATATAACATTAAATGTACCATCCTAAAATATGAGGTGCATTCACACTGATGGACCAGCAAACCTCGAGGACCTTTTTATCTTCCCAAACTGAAACTCTGTACCCATCAAACAACTCCCAACTGCCCCTTGGCTCCTGTCGTTCTACTTGTTTCTATTAGTTTGACCCACTCTTTAAAAAAAAAAAAAAATCTTAGTAGCCAATATCTTAAAATTGGGATAATTCTAATTTTTAAAAAATAAGATCATTTCTGGCCTTTCATGCAAAACCAGAGCTGTCAGGCTGAGCGTCAGGGAGATGATGGGATGGCACAGGATTTGGGGAAGTGACGAGGTGGCAGGGAAGGGGCTTGAGGGCTGTGGCATCAGCCTCATTCTGGAGCCAGGGCCAGGGTGTTTGGGGGCAGGGAGGAGGAGATGGGGTGGCTTCCTGGAGGAGGGAATGGTAGAGAGGGAGATGAGAGTGGGAATGAGGCTAGGGTGTTTATAACTGAGCCTGAATCTGAATAAGCTGACAGAGAATAGGCAGAGAGTGGCACTGAATGAAGGGAAGGTGATTCACTTTAAGAAAAAAAAAAAAGTATCCAGCACCTAATGTGTATCTGGCTCTGTTTCGGTTTTGGGGACCCAGCCAGGCTCAGGTCCCGCCCTCCTGGGTCTTGAAAGCTGGTAGAGACACACGCTTTTCCCCAGCACTGATGGCTTAAGAGCGGTCAGGCTGCGGTGGGGGAACCCAAGGGGGTGAGGGCACCCAGAGATGGTGCATGACCCAGCCTGGGAGGTCAGGAAGTGCTTCCTGGAGGAGGGGAAGTCAAACCTGAAGCCAAATAAGAAAAAGAAGGGGAATTGAGAAAGAGCTGGGGAAAGGGGCAAGGCTGAGGGTGGCAGAAGGTGGGGGGGAGGGGGTTCTGACAATCAGCTGCAGCCTTCCCTTTCGTCCTCCTCCCCAGGATGCCCCGGAGGCCCTGCTAGCCCCAGACTTCGGCCCCATGCGGCTCACCCGCTGCCAGGCTGCCCTGGCAGCCGCCATCACCCTCAACCTTCTGGTCCTCTTCTATGTCTCATGGCTGCAGCACCAGCCTAGGAACTCCAGGGCCCGGGGCCCACGCCGTGCCTCTGCTGCCGGCCCCCACGTCACCGTCCTGGTGAGGGAGTTTGAGGCATTTGACAACGCAGTGCCTGAGCTGGTGGACTCCTTCCTGCAGCAAGACCCGGCCCAGCCCGTGGTGGTGGCAGCCGACACACTCCCCTACCCGCCCCTGGCCCTGCCCCGCATCCCCAACGTTCGTCTAGCGTTACTGCAGCCCGCCCTGGACCGGCCAGCCTCGGCCTCGCGCCCGGAGACCTACGTGACCACCGAGTTTGTGGCCCTGGTACCTGATGGGACGCGGGCTGAGGCACCGGGCCAGCTGGAGCGCATGGTGGAGGCGCTCCGCGCGGGAAACGCACGCCTAGTGGCTGCCCCCGTCGCTACGGCCAACCCTGCCCGGTGCCTGGCCCTGAACGTCAGCGTGCGGGAGTGGACCGCCCGCTATGGCGCAGCCCCCGCCGCTCCCCGCTGCGACGCCCTGGACGGAGACGCAGTGGTGCTCCTGCGTGCCCGCGACCTCTTCAACCTCTCGGCGCCCCTGGCCCGGCCGGTGGGCACCAGCCTCTTCCTGCAGACCTCCCTTCGCGGCTGGGCGGTGCAGCTGCTGGACTTGACCTTCGCAGCAGCGCACCAGACCCCGCTGGCCACGGCCCACGCGCGCTGGAAGGCGGAGCGCGAGGGGCGCACTCGGCGGGCGGCGCTGCTCCGCGCACTGGGCATCCGCCTGGTGAGCTGGGAGGGCGGGCGGCTAGAGTGGTTTGGCTGCAACAAGGAGACCACGCGCTGTTTTGGGACCGTTGTAGGTGATACGCCCGCTTACCTCTACGAGGACCGCTGGACGCCGCCCTGCTGCCTGCGCGCGCTGCGTGAGACCGCCCGCTACGTGGTGGGCGTGCTGGAGGCCGCGGGCGTGCGCTACTGGTTGGAGGGCGGCTCACTGCTAGGAGCTGCCCGCCACGGGGACATCATCCCGTGGGACTACGACGTGGACCTGGGCATCTACTTGGAGGATGTGGGCAACTGCGAGCAGCTGCGGGGGGCCGAGGCCGGCTCGGTGGTGGATGAGCGCGGCTTCGTATGGGAGAAGGCGGTTGAGGGCGACTTTTTCCGCGTGCAGTACAGCGAAAGCAACCACCTGCACGTGGACCTGTGGCCCTTCTACCCCCGCAACGGCGTCATGACTAAGGACACCTGGCTGGACCACCGGCAGGATGTGGAGTTCCCCGAGCACTTCCTGCAGCCGCTGGTGCCCCTGCCCTTTGCCGGCTTCGTGGCGCAGGCGCCCAACAACTACCGCCGCTTCCTGGAGCTCAAGTTCGGGCCCGGGGTCATCGAGAACCCCCAGTATCCCAATCCGGCACTACTGAGTCTGACGGGAAGTGGCTGAATCCCTGACACCCTCGCCTTTGTTTTTCCTGGGTCTGTTTGGATGTGAAGAAGCTTGGGGTGAGGGGTGAGGGATGAGGGGTGGAGGGGTCTGTGGCCGAGAGGGGGAGGGGGAATCTGACCAAGAAAGAAAGGAGAGTTTGAGAGAAGGCTGACACTGGCAGGAGGAGAGCACCGGGACGAGCATGGGAAGCGACCTCCAGATACTCTCAAATGGTCATGCCCACCGGGAGCGGTGGATATGCATGGGGACATACTAGGTCGTCCCAGTCATTGAGGGAGCCAAGGATGCCGCGCCGTCCTGCAAGGCCGAGCACGGGCCCAGACCCAGAAAAAATGTCCTGCCCAAGATTCCGAGAGCCCTGCTCTCTGCGGCAGGGGAGGGGTTTTGGAAACAGAGAGAAAGAGTGCAGCCTATGGAGCCAGAGTGGCAAGATTCAAATCCTGGCTCTATATCGCTTATAAGTCAGGTGGGCATGGGGGAGCGTCGCCGGTTCTCTGTGCCTCAGTTGCCTCCAGGATGTGGGACCCTTGCCTGCAGGGGTTGCTCCCGCCACTAGAGGGCGCGCCGGTCCCGCTCCTGGTGGCTCACTGTGGCTCCCGGGTCGGCAGTACGCCCGGGGCCTTGGTTCCATAGCCATCTACTCTCTTGAGCCTTTGGACTTCTCTCCAAGCCCCTTTGGGAGGAGGGACAGCAGTGACCGAGACCTCACCTTCTTTCGGACTGCGACCTCCTTCCCTCCTGGAAGAGCCGTGACCTGCATGCCGCTCTTGACGCCGTCTTGCAGAGGAGGAAATGCTCAGAGTTCCGAGGTGCAGCTATGGTCGAGAACCCGGTGCTGGGCCTGGAGCAGGGGCTCACGCCTGTAATCCCAGCACTTTGGGAGGCCCAGGTGGGAGGATAGCTTGAGCCCAGGAGTTCAAGACCAGCTTGGGCAACATGGCCAGACCCTGTCTCTGTTTTTAAAACAGAAAAACCACCGAGCTCTGGATCTCAGCTCTACTCATGATGATTACCTCATTTCAGCTGTCTGCACCTACTTCCCCACTTGCGCGGCAGGGTAGACAATAACCATAGCTCACGTTCACTGAGCACCTACTGGGTACCGGGCACCATTCTCAGTGTTTCAGCTGGGTCAACTCATGCATCCCTCACCTCAGTCCTCTGAAGTCACAGCTGCTATTACTTTCGTTATACAGATGAGAAAGCTGAGGCCAGAATGGTGAATCACTTGCTCTAGGTCAGGCAGCTTAGGAAGGGGCAGATCAGGAGCTTGAACCCAGGTGGTCAGGCTCTGGAGCCCACAATTGTCTTACCCACCATGCTCCTCTCTAGTCATGGGCCCCAAGAGGGGCTCGGAGACCCACTTAGCAGGTGAAAGCAATGGCAGTCTTCCTTTTTTGATTATGCACCTAAGAGTAAATGGTATTTGGGCATGTATTCCCAATATGTGTATATTTATTTATAAACATGTACAGATACTACTATCTGTGTGTTAGTAATAAAGCTGAAATTATTCCATTTTAAAATTATGACTATGAATAGGGGTTTTTTGTTTCTTGTCTCATCCCAATGACTTGTTTTGCACTCCGAGGAGTGAGCATCCGGCACCAGGACCACAGGTAAAAAAAAAAAAAAAAAAAAAAAAAAAAGCTGGCCGGGGACGGTGGCTCACACCTGCGATCCCAGCACTTTGGGAAGCTGAGGCAGGAGGATCACTTGAGCTCAGGACTTTGAGACCAGCCTGGGCAATAGAGCAAGACCCCTTCTCAATTGAAAGGTGAGCCTCAGGGAGCGTCGCCGTTTCTCTGTGCCTCCAAGAAACGAAAGATGTTCACAGGAAGGGGATCCGGAGTCTGGCTGGGTTTGAATCCTAGTTGGCCACTTGCTTTCTTTGTAATCTTGGGCGCAAGTCGCTGCCTCTGTGAACCTGTAAACTGAGGAGACTGGTAATATTGCACAATTGTGCATTCCTTGAAGGAGGAGCAGGCTTCAGAGACCAGCAAGAGAAGATTAATGTTTGACCCAGTCCCCTGAGGCTCGGACATCCAGAACCTGACTTCTTTTTTTTTTTTTTTTTTTTTTTTTTCTTGAGACGGAGTTTCGCTCTTGTTACCCAGGCTGGAGTGCAATGGCGTGATCTCGGCTCACTGCAACCTCCTGAGTAGCTGGGATTACAGGCACGTGCCACCATGCCCGGCTAATTTTTTTTTTTTTTGTATTTTAGTAGAGACGGGGTTTCACCATGTTGACCAGGATAGTCTCGATCTCTTGACCTTGTGATCCACCCGCCTCGGCCTCCCAAAGTGCTGGGATTACAGACTTGAGCCACCGCACCCGGCCAAACCTGACTTCTTATAACCCAGCCCCTGCTTCTAACCACTGAACCCACAAATGGTTCACAGAGAGACTTGGCAGGTCCCCAGGGAGGATTCTGGAATGTGTGGGGATGATCTGCCTTATCATTGTGGCCAGCAGGTGCTCTTGGCTCCTGGCAGGTGTGGTCCAGGGAGGCAGATGTCTTGTCATCTGCGGGAATCGCCACGCAGCACGGCACCATCCTGTTTCCTGCGGTTTCCAGATGTCTCATTGGACATTCAGGAAGGAAGGGTAATAATCAGAATATTTTGCCACTGTAATATAAATTAATATATGTCAGTATATGCATCAATTTTTTAAAATATTTCTTTTAGGCCAGGTATAGTATAATCCCAGCACCTTGGGAGGCCAAGGCAGGGGGATGGCTTGAAGCCAGGAATTCGAGACCAGCCTGGACAACATAGAGAGATCTCATCTCTACAAAACATTACAAAAATCGAGCAGGCCATGGTGGCTCACACCATTAATCCCACCACTTTGGGAGGCTTAGGCAGGCAGATCACCTGAAGCCAGGAGTTTGAGACCAGCCTGGCCAACATGCTGAAACCCTGTCTCTACTAAAAACACAAAAATTCGCTGGGCATGGTGGTACGTGCCTATAATCCTAGCTACTGGGGAGGCTGAGGGAGGAGTATGGCTTGAACCCAGGAGGCAGAGGTTGCAGTGGGCCGAGATCGTACCACTGCACTCCAGCCTGGGTGACAGAGCAAGATTCCATCTTAAAAAAAAACCATACAGCCGGGCGCGGTGGCTCAAGCCTGTAATCCCAGCACTTTGGGAGGCCGAGGCGGGTGGATCACGAGGTCAAGAGATCGAGACCATCCTGGTCAACATGGTGAAACCCCGTCTCTACTAAAAATACAAAAAAGTAGCTGGGCATGGTGGCACGTGCCTGTAATCCAAGCTACTCAGGAGGCTGAGGCAGGAGAATTGCCTGAACCCAGGAGGCGGAGGTTGCGGTGAGCCGAGATCGCGCCATTGCACTCCAGCCTGGGTAACAAGAGCGAAACTCCGTCTCAAAAAAAAAAAAAAAAAAAAAAACCATGCAACAATTACCGGGCATTGTGGTGCACACCTGCAGTCCCAGTTACTCAGGATGCTGAGGTAGGAGGATCACCTGAGCCCAGCAGGTCAAGGCTACAGTGAGCCAGGATCATGCCACTGCAGTCCAGCCTGGGCAACAAGAGTGAGACCCTGTCTCAAAAAAACAAAAATGCGGCCGGGCGCGGTGGCTCAAGCCTGTAATCCCAGCACTTTGGGAGGCCGAGGTGGGTGGATCACAAGGTCAAGAGATCGAGACCGTCCTGGTCAACATGGTGAAACCCCGTCTCTACTAAAAATACAAAAAAAAAAAAAAAAATTAGCTGGGCATGGTAGCACATGCCTGTAATCCCAGCTACTCAGGAAGCTGAGGCAGGAGAATTGCCTGAACCCAGGAGGCGGAGGTTGCGGTGAGCCGAGATCGCACCATTGCACGCCAGCCTGGGTAACAAGAGCGAAACTCCATCTCAAAAAAAAAAAAAAAAAAAAAAAGCTTATTGTCACCTAAGTTATATGACAGAAAATCTATCACAATTAACTTGAACTAGTTTTTATTCGAATACGTATTTAATTATGAATTATCGCTTTCTCAAGTAGTCATACTGTTATCCAACCAGAAGAGAAGCATTTCAGTATTTTAACAACTAGTATTTCCATACTAGTTCAGACCAACTAAACTTTAGCCTTACTTGGAGGTGAAAACCCTGGTAATAATTATCTGAGCCCCAAATCTCTCTCTTGTAAATTCAAAGTCCTTCTTGTTTTTGAATCATCTCGGAATGTTCCAGGAAGTACAACTAACATATAAAATAAAGGAAGCTTGTATTCGGTTTTGTTCGAAACTTGCCCAAAGATTGTCCACCATGTGAAAAAAACTCACATTGCCCCGGGCTCTTGGTAATCAGACACCAGTCCATGTTTTTCCAGCGTGTTGGAACTGTCTATATCACAGGCGTAAACATCTGCCTACCTCCTTGGGTTCTGGGGAGGTGGCTCCACACGTTTGCATATGGAAACGCATATTGTAAGTTACTATCCTCTTATTGCTCCTCTTTATTACATTTAGGGCAACAAAGGATTGTTTTCGTTGTTGTTTTTGAGACAGGGTCTCACCCTCACCCAGGCTGGAGGGCAGTGGTACAGTCTCGGTTCACTGCAGCCTCAACTTCCCAAGCTCACGATTCTCCCACCTCAGCCTCCCTTGTAGCTGGGACTACAGGTATGTGCTACCACACCCAGCTAATCTGTTACATATATGTATGTACTAGTAATTAGTGGTTACCTGGGACAGGGACCCTGATGAGACAGGCTGCAAAGAGGCACAAGGAAAGTTGGGGATGATGAGAATATCACGTACCTTGATTATGGGAGTGGTTTTTCACAGCATATGCATCTGTCAAAACTCATTTAACTGTATTTTCCTTCTTTTTCTTTTTTTCTTTCCTTTTTTTTTTTTTTTTTTTTTTTTGAGACAGGGTCTCCCAGTGTTGCCCAGGCTGGTCTCAAACTCCTGAGCTCAAGCGATCCTTCTGCCTCGGCTTCTCAAAGTGCTGAGATCACAGGCGTGAGCCACTGAGCCTGGCCTAATTGACTTTAATGGGTACAATTTATCATATGAACATTTTTCTTCTTGAGTCAGAGTCTCGCTCTGTTGCCCAGGCTGGAGCGCAGTGGTGTAATCTTGGCTCACTGCAACCTCCACCTCCTGGATTCAAGTGATTCTCATGTCTCAGCCACCTGAGTAGCTGGGATTACAGGTGTGCACCACCACACCTGGCCAGTTTTTGTATTGGTAGTGGAGACAGTTGCACCATGTTGGCCAGGCCGGTCTTGAACTCCTGGCCTCAAATGATCTGCCTTGGTCTCCCAAAGTGCTGGGATTACAGGTGTGAGCCACCTCGCGGGACCTATTGTATGTAAATTACACCTCAATAGGGTTGGCCTCAGGAAGAGCAGAAGTGAGGCAGAATAACAGGCCTAAGAACATGGACCTGTCTCTAAGAAAGACAAAACTGAGTCGTTGCCCTCTGCCTTTCAGTCCCCATGCTGCCACTGAGCCTAGAACCCAGAACCAGCCCCAATCCCGGGCCAGCTTGGGCTCTTCTTCCCGGGTCAAGTTCCTTCAAAGAGGCAAGAGGGGTGGGAGGGGCAGTGGGGAAAGGGAGAGAAGATCGAAGCTGGGAACTAGGACCCAGGGAATGCCCATAAAAGTGTTTTTTCTCCTGCTCTTACGTAACCCGCACCAGCAGCCTTTGGGTGAGGCATAACAGAGCCATTGTCACCAGCGGGTGAGGCCTGGCAGTGCTCACCCAAGGTCACATAGTTGCCAGGAAGCAGAGTTGGGACTGAACCAGCCTCTTCCGCCATTACAACAGTGTTTATTGAGCATGTGCTATACGCATGCACCAGCCTCTGCGGTAGGCTCTGAGCATACAGCAGTGGACAATTCAAAGGCGGTTCCCCCACGGAGTGACCTTCCCAGTGGGGACAGGCAGGAAACAATAAACATCATAAAGCAGTGACTGCTATAGCCCGTCGGGAGGGGACTGTTGCTACTGAAAAAGAACAGGGCCAGCTAGTGGCTCCCACCTGTGATCCCAACACGTTGGGGATGTAGGTGAACTCCCTTCAGCCCAGGAGTTCAAAATCAGCCTGGACAACATACAGAGACCCTGTCACTACAAAAAACTTAAGTAAAAAAAAAAAATAGCTGGGCTTGTACCATGGCCCTGTAGTCCCAGCTACTTAGGAGGCTGAGGTGGCAGGATCACTTGAGCCTGGGAGGTCAAGGCTGAAATGAGCCGTGATCATGAAACTGCATTCCAGCAGTTTCCCACCTCAGCCTCCTGAGTAGCTGAAACTACAAATGCCCAGATAATTTTTTTTAATTTTTAGTAGAGATGGGGTTCCCCTATGTTGGTCAAGCTGGTCTCAAACTACTGACCTGAGATGATCCGCCTGCCTGGGCCTCACAAAGTGCTGGGATTACAGGCACGAGCTACTGCACCCAGCCACTAATTTTAAAACATATTCGACACTGGGTGCAGTGGTTCACGCCTGTAATCCCAACACTTCGACACTTTGACCTGGGAGTTCAAGACCAGCCTGGGCCA